AGTGGGCAGAGCAGGGCTGGGGTGTCTGGGTGAAGGCGTCCCTCCTCCTTTTGACTGCTAACTATGCCTACCCCCAGACCAGCTGAAGCAGGCAGCAGAGCCCCTTAGGCCCAGGAGGCATGAGGACCCTGTGGAATGATGAGGTGGGGGGACATGCTCATATGCGAGATCAGGGCGTTGGCCACGTTGCTGTTCGGGTCTTTGCTGCTGTGTGACCAGGCACGGATGAGCAGGGTGTGTCCCGTGGGGGAGCCGGTTTGGCCAGCCCCACCTAGCTGGCTGAAGCTTGGTTTCCAAATGGGCTAATAGCTGGGGACACAGACACTCTTTTCATCTTGGCCTGCCCAGCACATACCTGGTTCCCAAGAAGCCAGGCAGCTTCGATCTGGTCGGCCAGAGCTGGAATTAAACTCTCTGGGCTCAGCCAACCAGCTGCTGCTGTCCAGGGCTAAAGGGAACCATCCCAGGTCATCACAGGTGACCCCAGCTGCTGTGCCCCTCAGCCTAGACCTCTGCCCTCCCAGCAGCTCCCTTGGTTCACTATGGCTCCCCTGGCCCCCTTGGGCTGTGACACCCCAGTGTCCATCAGGAGTTTGAGTCCCTGTTGCCAGCATGAGTTTCTGTGAGCCCTGCTCCTGTTGCCATAAAGGACATCTTTGCTCAGACAGCTTGGGAAATGACAGAAGCTGACATTGGCAGCTAGAGAACACACAGGAACACAGGCCTCTGGGTGTGAGAGTGAATTGGGCTAGCTCTGGGCATGGCTGGTATCTGGAGAAAGGCTTCGTGGAGATGACAGATTAGGGAAAGGGCTTGGAGCGTGAGGCTTTGAGAGGACGTGGGTAAGGAGGGCCGCCCAGGATAGAGGAGGCTCTGAGCAGAAGCGGGAGGCTGGACGAGGCTGCGCACGCAGAGGGGTGTGTCGGGAAGGGCAGAGATGACTGGATAGGCAGGGTGGGGCCAGGCTGGCGGGTTTGTCTCCTAAGTAGCAGAGAGACACTGCCCACTCTCAAACAGGCAAGGGCTAATGAGAGCTTTGTGGACCAAGGTCACGGTGATGGCACCACAAGCCCAGCAGGGCAGCCCCCGGGGGCCCTGGATTGGCCAGCGATAAACTGATGAGCTTCAGGCCCATGGTCTGGGCAGCAGGGGTGGCAAGGAAGGACTCAGAAAGGACGCCATCTTTCTGAGCCTGCCACTGTCCTGTCAACAATCATGGTTAAATTGGAGCTTTTACATTTTGGGGGCCACTTCAGAGTGAAGGATATGCATGTGGGGACCCTGGCCCTATGTAGCTCTTGAAGACCCTGAACCTGGAGCTTATGCTGTTTAACTTTGGTCCAGTTTCCCTCTAGAAGTCACTTTCTTTGCCTCAGGGTTTGGGCTCTGAGCGCTTCTTAGGAAGAACAGGGAGAAATGATTGTCTTGAGGTCCTAAGGATCATTCAGCGGAGGTGGGGGTAAAACCCACTTCTCCAAGAAGGAAAGGTAGAAAGGGGTGTGAGCGCAAGCCTAAGTCATTAGCACAAGAGGGGAGCAGAGAAAGGCCTGGAGAGGAAGGGCTCCTTGCTAAGAGCGCCCCTCTTTGGCCCACCTTGGAAGATGTTTCCAGTTGTTGACCCCCCAAGAACCCACTGTTCTCCAGTGGAGAAACGTGTCTCTCTGCACACACCTGGGCTTCCTCCTAGCTGTCCAGCTCAGTCTGCTTTCTGGAGGAGGGGTCAGCTCTCCTCCCAGGAAGTCAAGTGTCTAGCCTCTGGAATGTTCCCATCCACAGGCCATTCCACCTGAGGCTGGAGTTTCCCAAGGAAGCATGAAATAACCAGACAAGAGGTGTGTGTGTGTGTGTCTCACTGTCCTTTGTATTCAAAGCAGAGGACGCTGCCAGCTGATTGCTATCTGAGTGTGGGAGTGTGCCCGGGAGACCCGGCATTGGCAGCTAAGCTCTCCCACCTGTTGTGGGCACACGTGTGCACTGCCCTGCACACCCCGCTGGGCTGCAGCTGCTCACCCTGACCTGGAAGGGAGTGTTTGGGAATGTGGGGGGACATTCCTGCTAGTCACAATGACTGTCTGGCGTGGCTGGCATGTAGGGCCTGATACCGGGCTCCCAATCATCCTGCAGTGCTTGGGGCATCCTGCTCCAGGGAGAACAGTGCCAAATGCTGATAGTTCCGTGTAAAGACACACCCCACTATCTTATCAGGATTGGGCTTCATTCTGGGCACCCCACCTGAGTGGACAGCACTCCTCTTATTGTTCTGAAACCTACTGAGGCCTGCTCTAAATACCAGTGTACCCCTTTTCCTGGGCTATTCAGGCTTCCTGGGCTTGCCCTCTCATGTGCCAACCTGGTAGCTCCTTTAGGTATAGCTTGGATGGTGTAAAACCCTCAGCCAGGTCCCACAAACAGCTACTCTCCCCAGTCTGGGCATCAGAGGGACAAGCCATCCCTCCTGAGCAAGAGCTTGGTCACACATGGGCCTAAGTGCAAACATTCCTTCCCTGGAGTCTCCCACACTGGTCCAGAGCAGCCCCATGTCTACAGACAGAGACACTGGCTCACAGTCTCAGTCACCTGCCCAAGGCCGTCGTTGCGAGCCGACATGGCCAGGGCTCAACCCAGGCGGCCTGGCTCCAGAGCCTGTGCTGTTGCCCACCTAGTGTGCATCTGCCCAATGTCTCAGCTCTGGGCACTTGAGGTTCACACCCAGAGCCCCAAGATGCCTTCACCCCTTTTTAGCCTGAGAGGCCACAAGAGGGAAGGTGCCAGCTTCAGCTAGGTTACAGGCCCCGGGGAGGGCAGGGTGGCAGCTCGCTCTGTCTGAGCCTTGGAGGAGACCAGACCTCGGTGGCACTAGGAGAGGCAGGCCTGGCTGAGAGGCGCTTTGCTCCTGCGAGTACAAGGAGGGTGAGAGTGTGATGGGAGGGTTACCGCAGCTGTCCCCTGCTGCCACACAGCCTGCCTGCCACCGTGCTGTGGGAGCCGGCTGTGGTTCCCAGAAAAGGGTGACACTAGCGGGTGTGGCTGGTGGGAAATGCAGTCCCACCGGGGTGTCTCTGCCTTCTCCACTACACCCGCTGGGGCTCAGGCAGCTCCCGTTCCCTCTGGGCAGCCCACCCTTGCTGAGACTTGGCAGGGCTGCCCACTGCTCCTTTTCCCAGACAGGACAGCAAAGTCCCGAGTCTCCGGCAGGCTCCATCAGCATGATTGCATTTTGCTGGGTTGGGGCCAGGATGAGCACTGGCCTCCTCACCAGGTGTCTGAGATAACGCCCAGGGGTGTCGCTGACAGAGAACAAGAGAGGGCCTTGTGTTTCTGTGAAGGTCTAGCTGCCGTAGGGGAGAGCTCCGCTTTCACTCCAAAGCGCAGCTGTCACTTTCCTCCCCAGAGAGACCTGGGCAGGGGTAGGCCAGTGGCCCGGAGCTGCCGGGCCTAATGGCATATCTTGTATGTCACCTGCGAGGTGCCATCCCATGCCCCACGACTCTGAAAGCTGCCCCTACCCCTTCCTCTTGTGTTGTTATTGTCTGCTTAGGCCTCCCCAACACCACATCCCAGTTGCCTTTGGGGTAGGTTGGTTTGACCCAGTTTGGGGAAGAAAATTGTGCCTGCCTGAGTGTGCAGCTGTGTGTGGGTGGGGTTGATGGAAGCAGCATTAGGCCAAGTTTGTGGCTTCTGAGTTTTAGAAGCAACTTCTGACCCACAGGTGGGCAGCTGCTCCCTAGGACACACCCAGAGAGATGGGGAGGACCTGGCCAAGGACTGGCCAACCTTGTGTGGCCAACTCTGGTGTGAAGGGGAAGTACCCAGGTGCCTAATGACGCCCACTGCCCCCCACCCCCTTGGCACACACACACACACGCACACACATATGCACACATGCATGCACACACCTGCACACACACAGGGTGGGGCAGGCAGGCTCTGAGCTGCTGGACTTGGCCCTGGCTCACCAGCAAAGGTGAGTCCCAAGTCGGCACCTGTGTGGAGACATTTATCAGGCTCCATGTTGATCCTCTCGTCTGAAGACAAGTCAGAGCAGGCCACCCCACCGGCCTGCGAGCTCCTGGGAAAGTCCTCCTTCGAGGGCTCTGTTGGGAGCTCATTCCCACTGTGTCTCTAGCCTTGCTGGCCCTTCTCAGGGTGCCTGGCTCCCCAGTTAGGCAGACATGTGGCCCTAGAGACACCTCATTGTTGTAAGTTTTCCTGTTGGATTGAGCCTCTGCCCCATCTCTCCCCTCCCACCCCCAAGCCCAGTGACCAAGCTCAGGAGGCCTCCCTGGTCCCACCCTGCGGCCTCCAGGCCTGCCCCCACTTGTGCAGTCACCCCTGAGACAGAAGCTCCAGGGAGCACATGTTTTCCTCTTGGCCTTTGAGGGGTTCCCCCATGTGACCTGTCCCCATAAGCGTCTGCCTGGCGGAGGGGAGGCAACACGAGGAATTCAGGTGAGAAGTAACAGAGCTCTAGCCAGGAGTGATCCCCCCCACCCTGATACAATTGTCGAAAAGGCCTGGCGGGGCCAGAAGCTGCTGGTGCCAGGAGTGGCGTGGGTGACGGGGAGGGAGCGTGGGGATGCAGGGACAAGCCCTGTGTTGTCCTTCCCTCTCCAAATGCCTGTGGGAAGACCCTCTCTGGATCTCTGGGCCTCTGGCTGCTCTCCGCACTGAGCCCAGGTGGGTTGCGCTGTCCAGCTCCTTGCTGCCCCCACGGCCCCGTGCGCAGCTTCACAAAACAATACACTCTCACTGCTTGCATCGATTTCCGATGTTCTATATTTGGGATGATCACAGCTTGCCAAATTGGTGCCATAATCTGTAATGGGTCACAACCTGCAGTTTGAAACGTAATGGCTCAGGTGATGGCTAAGTCCCCTCTATTCCAAACATCTGCCATCCCATGAGCGTCATTGGAGGCCGGGGAGGGCTGGCCGGGGTCAGCTTGATGAGGACCCCTGGTTGGGAACCTTGACTGAGCCTTTCTCCTTTCCTCTGGTCAGATCTACAATGGGACCCTCAAGCGGGAGACGGACAACCGGCGTTTCAGCTCCTACAGCCAGATGGAGAACTGGGGCCGGCACTACACCCGGGGTGGCTGTGCCACCACTGGCGCAGGCAGCGACATCTGCTTCATGCAGAAAATCAAGGCGAGCCGCAGTGAGCCTGACTTGTACTGCGACCCTCGGGGCACCCTGCGCAAGGGCACGCTGAGCGGGAAGGGCCACAAGACGACCCAGAACCGCTACAGCTTCTACAGCACCTGCAGCGGCCAGAAGGCGGTCAAGAAGTGCCCCATGCGCCCCCCCTCCTGCATCTCCAAGCAGGACCCAGTTTACGTGCCCCCCATCTCCTGCAACAAAGACCTGTCCTTTGGCCACTCGAGGGCCAGCTCCAAGTGAGTGCTGCTGGGCTGGCGTGGGGCCGGGCGGGGCGGCGGGAGACACATTAGCAGGGCTGGCCCCTTAGGATGTGGGCGTGGAGAGACCTAGGTCTGTGCCCAAGGAGTTCACTGTACCTCCTTGGGGAGTTCCTGGCCACATGGGCCCCTGGCGTCAGAGAGTTCTCAGCGTGAGGGGGAAGCAGAACCCACTAAACAAATGCACTGGGTACGTAGGCTTCAAGGGGTCACTGGTTGTGAGTAGAGGGCAGCTAATGGGAGACTAGCGAGGTCAGTGGTTCTCAAAGTGTGTTCCTCTGACCAGCAGCATCAACATCATCTGGGAATCTGAGAAATGCTAATTCTCGGGCCCCACCCAGCCCTACTGGCTCAGAAACGTTGGGAGAGGGGTCCAGAAATACGCGTTTTGATGGGCTAGCTCTGGAGAACCTCTGAGCGTAGGCAGATAATCTCTGCATTCTGAATGCCCACCTAGTGTGCACCTGCCCAATGTCTCAGCTCTGGGCACTTGAGGTTCACACCCAGAGCCCCAAGATGCCTTCACCCTTTTTTAGCCTGAGAGGCCACAAGAGGGAAGGTGCCAGCTTCCCTCTTCCCTCTTCCCTCGGTGTAACGATGGGAAGGGGGCTCCGTCTTATAGGCCAAAAGAAAACCAGGACAAATGAACATAAGAACTGATCAGTGCTAAAGAACAGGGCACACTCCTGGCTGTGATCACAGAAGGACCATTGCCGAGTGGCAGGGAAAGGCCCGAGTGAGCTGCCAGTAACGAAAGAGCCGACGGGCAGGGGTGGCTTGGGGACACTGAGCCTACCCCAGGACGCTGAGCCCATGGACACTCACTGAGCACCTATGTGCCAGACTGTGTGGGAAGTAAGGGGTCACACAGCTATGGACAGGATGGTTCAGCGCTGTTCTACAGCTTCCTGATGGAGCTTGCCCAAGGCCTCACAGCTGATGCTAGAACCTGTGCTTTACCTTACTCTATCATACTCTTTTCATAACAAGCAGAACCCCATTCTAGAATTGAACCTCTATAGCTACTTGAAAGTCATAGGTCTATTGAGAATGACCGGGAGGAGAAGTAAGAAACCTCTTTCCCTTGGAGACTGACCAGGGAAACCCCTGGCCCTGGCTCATTGTCCCAAATGAGAGACCCATGGAAGGCAGGGTGTAGCCGAAACGCAGATGGGAATGAGTGGCAAGTGATTTAGGGGTAATATTTGACTAGCAGATGCAGGTGACATTCTCTTAGTATGGGGTAGGGATGCTAAGGACACAAGACCAGAGGAACTCTGTCCCTTGGGTGATTTTTCCAGAAATGGAGTTGATTGGCCACACTAAAACCACAAGCACAGATAAACTGTGGCAAGACAAGAGGCTAGCATGATGAGAGCAGGGTTCCTCCTAGAAATTTTGGGAGGACTTCTCGTGTGTACGGCTGGATGCCACAGAAGGGACTGCCCTGCCCTTGGGGAACACACCATCTCTGCTGGGCACCAAGAGCCAGGTGGAAAGGCAGCCTGAAATCAGCACCATGAGAGCCAGAGGGGTTCCCAGAAGAAATATATTCCTTCCGGGGAAGGTTCACAGAAGTGGGCTCAGCTGGTCACATGGGTGGTGAGGAGAAGGGACACGGGCATTCCTGAGCCTGATCAGAGTACAGTGAGGAGAAGAGCTGCTGGAGCAGACCCTTTAATGGGCGGGGACTGTGCAAGAGGACACAGCACAACCAGACTCCTAGGTGAACACGTGCCATTTCTGGTTTTATGGCTAAGGTACACTACCCAGCATTTCATATGTTTTGGCCTAACACATGCCCTTGATAGCAGTCTGGCAGTTTGAACTTGAACCTGCCATTCAGGGAAGTTATTGACAGCAACAACACAGCGAACAGCATTTCAGGACTGCTCATCTAGTAAAGGGGTATGAAGTAATGAATTGGGAGCTTAAAGAAGAGAGTAAGTTGTGGGGGCTGATTTGTTGCAGCCCCACACAGAGACTGATGACGGTCAGAGGTGGTGGCCATGAGAATAGGAAGAAGGAATAGATGTGAGAATTTTTGTTTAAGAAGAATTAGCTGTATTTGGGACTGAGGGGAGGGAGGGAGGGATGGATAAGAGGATGGGTGGTAGATGGACAGAGAGGGAGAATGGATGGATGGCTGGATGGATGGATGGAAGGTGGATCATGCATGGATGGAGGAATGGAGGGCAGGTGGATGGTGACAGGTGGATGGATGGATGCATGGATAGATAGTGAATGTATGGAGAAAGGAAGAGAAGGAAGATGGATGGATGGAGGGATGGAAGGTAAATGGATGGAGTGATGGGGGAAGGTGAAGGGAGGGGGAAAGAGGGAGGAAGGAGAGGTGAATGGATGAATGAAAGGATGGATGGATGGATGGATGGATGGATGGATGGATGGATGGATGGATGGATGGACAGGCTTACTGTCATTCTTTTCCATTTTCCTAACACCAGGCAGAGACATGAGAAATGGTAGGGTGGGCGGGGAGTGTCCCCTTGGGAACAGGGCAGAGTGTTTTCTCAGTGCAGAGGTAACTTACCTGCTTGGATATTAACCCATGACCAGAGCCGCATTAGAGTCAGTGTTCACTGCAGGTTGAGCCTTTTCCCTCCCCTGGAGCTGTTTCCCAGGGTGCTTTCCAGGGAGGTCAGGGCTGCCTCATTCTAGGTCTCCAGAAGGCCAGCTTGGACATGCAAATGGAATTTTCATCCCCTACACCAGGGCTCCCAACCCAGCCACACTGCCCATTTCTTGCAGGATCTGCAGTGAGGACATCGAGTGCAGCGGGCTGACCATCCCCAAGGCTGTGCAGTACCTGAGCTCCCAGGAAGAGAAGTACCAGGCCATCGGGGCCTATTACATCCAGCACACCTGCTTCCAGGATGAATCTGCCAAGCAGCAGGTAGCACGCTGTGTACCTTCCTCTCTGTGGGCCTGGGCAGGGCCTGGGTGTGTCAGCCTGACCCTGCATTTAGAGATGGGTGGGGGCATTTGCAGTTGGCGCCTTCTCACCCTGCCCAGCTGCCTGGAGCAAGGAGTGTGCTGGGCATCGCCCAAGAACAGAGCTGGGCACATTAACCCTCTGTGCAGAGCAGAGCCCTCTGGTTGAGTGGACAGCAGCCAGAGCCATTTCCTCGGCTCGTCTGGAAGGCAGTGACACCAGGGGCTCAGCAGAACCTTCTCACCTTCTACTAAAGAGCACCCTGTCCCATCCCCGAGCCCCTCCCACCCTCTGTCTGTCCCTCTCCATGCCATGGTCTTCTCTCACCAGGCATCCACGTGGAAAGCTGGGCTTGTTGGTGCCTCCTGAGCTTGGCTGGCAGGGAGGGCACCCGCAGGGCTCAGCCATAATCGCACTTGCTAGAGTCTGGGATTCATTTGCCCCTGGGTTTCTGCTCGAGGAGAGTCTCCCTTACAGAGTGCGTTTCTGTCCTGCTTCCTTGGTGCAGGGAAGGGAGCTACCGGGAAGGTTTCCAGCCAGGGTGTGAGGAGCACAGCTCGGGCACCTGACTTAGCTCCCTGTGGCCATTCCTCATCTGTTTTGTTCAACCTCGATGTGTTTCTGAACTGAAAGTAGACTTTCGGCCTGAGAAGCTCGGCGTCTAGCGCTCAGCTCCTCACTCGACCGCGGCGCCCCTGTTCCGGCAGGTCTATCAGCTGGGAGGCATCTGCAAGCTGGTGGACCTCCTCCGCAGCCCCAACCAGAATGTCCAGCAGGCCGCAGCAGGTGCCCTGCGCAACCTGGTGTTCCGCAGCACTGCCAACAAGCTGGAGACGCGGAGGCAGAATGGGATCCGCGAGGCTGTCAGCCTCCTGAGGAGAACTGGGTGCACCGAGATCCAGAAACAACTGACCGGTAGGGAAGCCAGCCACAGGGAGCCGGTGGAGGGGATCCTGAGCAGGACTCTGGCTGTGGCCCCCAGATAGGGTGTGGGGCACTCCTGGGGCTGGGCCAAGGCACACGGTGCAGGTTATTTGGCCTCAGGCTAGTATCCTGGAGCCCCATGGCACTGGAATGGCCAGGTTAGTGGTGTCCAGGTGGTGACCTGGGCATGCACCTAGCCGCAAGGGACCATGGTCTTTTTAAGGAGAGAATACAAGGAGTCCAAGTTGGCCCTGAGATTTGCCTGTTATGGTTATGGGAAGACAGTGAGGCTGATGGGAGCAGGAATCAACCCCTTAAAAATATGACCAAGACTCGGGGTGGGGGCATAAGAGACAGAACTTGCTGTGAAGACCTCAGATTGAACCAAGAAAATGAGACCTTGTTCAAACTAACCATGATGGGTGTGGGTATTTCTGGAATGACTTTCCCATGGAGAGCATTAGAAGATTCTGGATGCTAAAATGTCTATGAAAAACCACGAATTAATCAAGGTGCTTGGATCTCTTTCCATGGGCATTGCTTTGACCTGGATAGAGAATTCTTGATAATTTCTTCAAAAAAACCTGCAGCCTGACTGAGACACTGAGAACAGTGCTCATAAAACAACCAGGCAGCAGATTTAGATTTATCTGGAAAGGGACCTCGCAACAGTACTTCATTTGCTAGAGCTGGGGTTGGGGGGCGGTGTCCCACAATCCGTGGGGTCGGCGGAGCTTGGCATGTGTTCGCTGACCCTCCCCAAACCTCAGGGCTGCTGTGGAACCTGTCTTCCACTGATGAGCTGAAGGAGGAGCTCATCGCCGATGCCCTGCCCGTCCTGGCGGACCGTGTCATCATCCCCTTCTCCGGCTTGTGCGACGGCAACAGCAACCGGTCCCGGGAGATGGTGGACCCTGAGGTCTTCTTCAATGCCACGGGCTGCTTGAGGTGAGAGCAGGGGACCCTTGGATCTTTTGCCCCAGCTGTGGGCCCTGCCCCAGACAGCCCCATCTCAGCCAAGACACAGCCGGGGCAGAGAAGGTGACGTGAAACCTCCTCAACCTCATGGACAGACTCCAAGACACGGGGTGCCAGGCACACCTGCTTTCCTACATCTGAATGGGGCTCAGGACCCCACAGCTTCCTCTGCTGGGCTGCAGAAGACTCAGTTAGGAATCTAAGCGTGCAAATGCCTGGGTTTGAATATCCAAACCGTTTCCACCTTTTCCCCTCACCCACTCCTGGAAAATGTGTTTCTTGTACTATCTTGAAGAACATTCTTTTAGACCAGGTCTACTTACTGATTGGCTCTCAATGAGTCACTTCCCGGCTGCAATGCTAAAACCATGTGCCATATCCATTGGCATGAAGATGGAACTGCTTTCCCCAAAGTTTCCTGAGCTCCACACCAGGGTGTGGCAGAGCCCCTGGGGGGCTGCTGGAGGAGGACCCTTAGCGTGCTTGTTCCAGGACGGGGTTTACAAGCTGGGGGGCTGGGGAGGTGAGGCTGCTGGTTTGAGGTGGAGCAGTGGAGCAAATCCCTTTTAGGGTCACACCTTGCTTTAATGGGGTTTGTCTTCCCCAAATCCTGGGAACCTCCCCGCAATGGGGGTGCCATTGGCATGTGTGCCTGTGTTTCAACTTGTGCTCCTCCTGCCAGCCTTGGCCTCCAAGAGCAGAGAGGCTGGAGAGATGAAAAGCCAGGGTAATTAAGGCCTTAACCCGGGCAGTAGCAGCCACACCCCCTGCACCAGGCAGGTGGGCCCAGACTGCTTGGCAATGGGTCCCTGTGGAGCCATAACACAGCTTCCAGCGGGAGGGGATATCAGCCCCCAGTCCAGCCTCCCAGTGACTCCAGACCCTGTTCAGCCCATGGCCCAGGACCCAATGGAGCCTCTTTACCCAGACACTGGGCAGGCCAGGCCCTAATCTTGTTCAGCAAGTGCCCCCTGGTGGTTAGATGTGTGCTTGGCTGCTAAGCTGTAGTCATTGCCTGGCAGTTAACCAGCCAGGACAAAATTTACAAAAAGAAAGAATTAAGTTCAAACAAGAGCTTAATCCAGGCTGCTCTGGGGGCAGAATAGGCTGAATAATTTCTCTTTCCTTCCTATTTTTCCCCTCTTCATCCCTTTCCTCTGTTTCCTCTCCTCTCCTTTCCCCTCCCGCAACCTCCAACCTCCACCCCATATCCTCTCTGCTCCTTTTTTCTCCACCTGTTCTCTCCCTCGATGCCCCCCACCACTCTCCCTGCACCCCCACCATTCTCTCTCCCCTCCTTCCCTGCACCCTCCCACCCTCTCCATTCTCTCGCACAGGAACCTGAGCTCTGCCGATATAGGTCGGCAGACCATGCGGAACTACACAGGCCTCATCGACTCCCTCATGGCCTATGTCCAGAACTGTGTGGCGGCCAGCCGCTGTGACGACAAGGTGAGAGAGTGGCCTCAGGAGGTCCCCGCCCTGGGCCCCAGTCCCCAGGCTTTCCCTCTGTCCAGAGCTCCAGGCCTTTAAGCAATGAGGGCATCTCCTTGGACTCCGTCCTGACTTTTTCCTCCCCCAGACTCCACAAGGCGAGTCTGCTCTTTCCAAAGGAGCCTTTAAGGTGTGGCCTGGACAGGAGCCTGTCAGTGCCAGTGGGGTGAAGGGGTGCCTGGGTGCAGTGTAGCCCCCCACCCCCACAGGTGGCACCCAGGACAGTGATTGTCAGAGTTGCTTCCGGACAGTGGTTGTCAGTTCCTGGAATCAAGTCATCTCCCTCCCTTAGGGGTTTTTTAAAAGCAGATGCTTCCATGAGCTTCTGTGTTCCGCAGATGACACTTTGCTCAAATGGAGACGATCATAATGATATCTACTTCTTGGGTTGCTTTAAGTTAAGAAGCAGAACACAGGCAGCACGTGGCAAAGCGGACCTCCCAGAATGCTTTCCTGCCACTGCTGTCCTCTGACAAGAGGCTGACTGGTGCTCCAGGGCCTGGCCCTCCCTGAGCCTCCTGCTGCAGTTGTCCCTCGTCCTCCCAGACAGGCCTTGGGCAGATACCCTCCTGCCCCCTCCTAACTATGGACAGAGAAAGGGAAAGTCACAGAGGGAAGCTACCTCAGGCTGTGAGTGGCACCAAGGAGGGCCAGTGCAGTCCAGATGATGGGCCTGGGCCGGCATCCCAGGCATATGTGCCATGGAGTTTCCCTGTGGAAGGTCTGGTCTTCTCCCACCACTTGAGGCAACAATAGGGCCTCAGGAGAGAAGCTTATCACGGCTGCTAGGCTTGGTCCCCGTGGACCTCAGCTTTGGAAGTCCAGTCCCCTCAGCCCAGCAGGGCCAAGCGTCATTAGGAGGGTAGACCTGCTGCCCCAAACACTAGCCTGGCAGGTTCCCTAAGGAAAATGCAAAGAGCTGTAGCGTGCAGTCCCAGGTCTCACCGTCCGTGTGGACTTGGAAATGGATGCTGAGGACCGGCCACAAAGAAGGGGGTGGGAGGGACATAGGCACCAGCTGGCCATAGAACCTCAGACGCCAGGGCTGCTCCTGAGGGAGTGTGAGCCGGTGGAAGGCGAGCTTAGTGGCCCAGTGTCCACTCACTTTGGCGCGGCCCTCTTGCTGCGTCCTACTGTGTGCTGGGCCCTGATGGGAGCCAGGCAGAGGCTCAGGCGGGTGCCTCTGCTTGGCCCCCAGTCCGTGGAGAACTGCATGTGCATCCTGCACAACCTCTCCTACCGCCTGGACGCGGAGGTGCCCACTCGCTACCGCCAGCTGGAGTACAACGCCCGCAACGCCTACACAGACAAGTCCTCCACTGGCTGCTTCAGCAACAAGAGTGACAAGATGATGGTGAGCATCATCCACTGGTTTGCCAATTGGCAGAGGAGGGCCCGCCCCCCACTCAGCACCCCACTGGGCTCTTCCACCCTTTCCTCTCTGCCCTGATGGACCAGAAGCCAACCCGAGGGGACAGGCCCTTGGAGATGCGTGAAGGGCCTCTATCTTGTCTGTGTTCCTGGACTGTAGGAGCCCAGGCCAGCCCTGAGGGCAAAATCTCCAGCCCTCTGCAGGCCTCATCTGGAGGGAGCCGGGGCTGTAGGCCCAGGGTGGGTCAAGCTCAGCGGGGAGGAAGAATCATGCAGCAGGAGGGTTTGGGCAGAGGTAGCTCTGGAGTCCACTTCATGAGACCCCAGAACACTCACTGCCTGCCTCAGAGACAACACTGGACCATGGCGAGGGGAGCAGGCAACCACTCACTCAGGCACCCCCTAGGCACCCGCCGCTGGATGTTGGGGGAGCCCCCCTTCAGTGCCCTCATCAGGCTCCTCTTGACCCTCCCTCTGTCCTCAGAACAACAACTACGACTGCCCCCTTCCCGAGGAGGAGACCAACCCCAAGGGCAGCAGCTGGCTGTACCACTCGGACGCCATCCGCACCTACCTGAACCTCATGGGCAAGAGCAAGAAGGACGCCACCCTGGAGGCCTGTGCTGGTGCCCTGCAGAACCTGACTGCCAGCAAGGGCCTGGTGAGGGGCCCACGCAACCCCCGCCCACTCGCCAGTTCTCCTACAACCTGTCCCCCATCTGAGTTGTCTCGACCACTCTGATCCAGAGTTTGTTCTGCAAACACCAGTGTAGGGGCAGTGAGAGTTAGGCTCTGGGAAGCCTAACGAGTGTCAGGGGAGCAGAGACATCCCAGGCCTCCAGGACCCCTGGTGGTGTGTAATGGGTGAGCCTACCCTGGTTGGATTCTGAGCCCAAGAACCCCCATTTTTCGTGACCCAGGTCCCATGCTGGCCTCTTGGGCTCTGGCAGGGCTGAAGGGTGTGTTGGTGGCAGGAGGAGTCTCCTCTTTGTCGAACTGACAGAGGTGGCAGTGGAGTGTTTGGGGTATGCACAGGTCCAGAAGAAGAGGTGGCATTGTCAATAGAAATCTTGAGGCCTAATGGAGGACAGGCTGGCATGGGTGGAACCAGAAGAGCCTGTTTGTAATGAAGAAGCATCTAGAGAGGGAGGCAGCCAACTCTCCCTCACCTTTACTTAGGACAAAAGGTCATCAGATAGCAGCAGGACAAGAGTGAGTTGAGGTTAAAGAACTTTCCTGACTGGGAGAGGGTGGGGCTGGGGTCTGTGAGAACGCCAGAGCTGCCTGAACTATGTTGCAGCCAAGCTGGCTATGTTGCTAGAGGCCCAACTGAACTGACCAGCCCTATGGGTACCCTGGGTTGGATTTCCAGGCCCTCTCTTACCCATCTTTATTTCCAACAAGTGCTCAACAAACATTTTTTTTTAAATATTTATTTATTTATGCATACAAGAACTGGGGTACAGGCCAGAGGTGCAGGGGTGTGAGAGGATTCACCGGAGACAGAGTGGGGAACAGAACAGGCAGACTGACTGAAATACACTGCTGAGGGGAGCAGTGGGCCAGGCAGGAGAGGTCAGCTGCACCATGTGGGTAGCTCCCTGACCAGCTGGGGATGGAACTCATGCTGCAGAAGCTGCAGATAGCTTCACAGTGCTGCGCTGAACCCCTTGTGCCACCAGGGAGGCCCAACAAACACGTATTGAGTGCTACAAGATAGGGAAGTTGGAAGAAGATGGTTGGCATGTCTTCAGTTGACAAATTCCCTTGACTATAGGGCTTTATGTGAGCAGACACTGCTGGGAAAGAAGAGGGAGGCAGAGTGGAGACAAACCAGGGAGTGTGGTGTGTGATACTTTGGTGCATCTGGAAGTTGACTCTGGGTCCCTGACTAATGAGGGAACTGCCTTCTCCTCCCCTAGCTGGGCTCCAGCTGACTCAGGATCAGGGCCAGGGACAGCAAAGAGGAGGTGTATTTGCACCTGTGTCTTTGTAGTTGCTGTGTGTGAGCCAACTTTGTCTGTCTTTGCCAGTGCTCCCAACAGGAAAGAGAAAAAAGACCTGGGTTTCTCTGTTTGGGGCGCCTTGCTCAACTCCTGCCTGCCCTGGTGTCCAGGAAGCCACAGGCCAGGTCCTCACTCAGTCCTTCTTTCTCAGATGTCCAGCGGCATGAGCCAGCTGATCGGGCTGAAGGAGAAGGGCTTGCCACAAATCGCCCGTCTCCTGCAGTCTGGTAACTCGGACGTGGTGCGGTCTGGAGCGTCCCTCCTGAGCAACATGTCCCGCCACCCTGTGCTGCACAGAGCAATGGGTAAGCCCCCCAGAGGCATCTGACTGCCCTGCTGCCCCACCCTAGGGCTGGCAGCCCCTACTCTCCAGGGACTAGTGGGAGCTCACCCTCCAACCGCTCCTTGAGGTGCATTCCAGGATGGGGGACAGCCCAAGAGAGGCTGGATGAGAGGTGTGCAGCGCCAGACCCTGTACCCTGAGTTGGAGCTAGACTTTGGGGAGCCATCTTGCTTGGAGCCTGGCTGAGGGCAGCCTGGGACGGCAGCCCCAGAGGGTCCCCTCAGCCCTTTCCTTCACCCTGACCCCTTCCTCCACTGCTTTCTCCCCAGGGAACCAGGTGTTCCCAGAGGTGACCAGGCTCCTCACTAGTCACACTGGCAACACCAGCAACTCAGAAGACATCCTGTCCTCGGCCTGCTACACCGTGAGGAACCTGATGACCTCCCAGCCTCAGATGGCCAAGCAGTACTTCTCCAGCAGCATGATCAACAACGTCCTCAACCTGTGCCGTAGCAGGTGGGCCAGTGTCCCGCGTCCCCGCCTTCCTTACCTGGCACCCTGGGAAGACACAAGTCGGGAGCAGGAACAGATCCTAGAGCCGGGGCACTGGGATGGGGAGACCCAAATGGAGAGAAGTTCCAGAAGCTGAGGGCACTGTGGAGCCCAAGGGTCCAGTAGCCAGGCTTCAGGGCTGCACAGAGGGGCGGGGCAGCATGTTTTTCCACTGGGGAGCACAGGGGACATGAGCCCTCGGGGGGGCAGCAGGAAGGCCTGGAGCAGCAGGGGATTTTATTCTGGTTCATGGACTCTTGGGGTGACCAGGATGGGAGAGCACGTCCCTGCATGGCCCCCGAGGGCATCCTGGTACCTCTAGGTGGGCACGGGGCATGGGGTTGTGCCTGCTGTGTAGAGTGACCTGCCCAAGGGGCTCTTCTCTCACGCACCCCTGAGGCCTCCCCACATCTCCAAGACCCTGCAGGGGGATGGGGAGGGGAGAGGGTCCTCATTCTATGTCTCCTGGAGTCTCACCCAACCAAACTTCCCTCCTGCCCAGTGCTTCGCCCAAGGCAGCAGACGCTGCCCGCCTCCTCCTGTCTGACATGTGGTCCAGCAAGGAACTGCAGGGTGTCCTCAGACAGGTAAGGGCCCGCTCCCTTAAGCCTGTCGGGGCACCCCTGAACTTCCCCTGTACTGAGTGACGTCTCACTGAGTCAAGAAGGTGGGGGCGTGGGGAAATGGTGCTGTAGTCCCAGATATGAGTGTATGTGACAGCTGGTGTGGGACAGCCCTGGGCAACAGGGGGGCAAATCAAGGAAATGCACCGAGGCCTGGGGTGGGATGCTTTAGGCACAAAGTGAACAGCAGGGTGGACGAAAGGCGTGGAATTCATTTGGGGGTACACTGGGTACTCTGGAATGATACCAGCTGACTCAGGATCAGGGCCAGGGACAGCAAAGTAGTTCAGTTTGGGCTGAACTACAAAGCCCCTTTCATTTCACACCAGAGTGGAGGGTTGGCCTTTGGAAGCCACAAGGGGTTCTAAGGAGATACTTTCAGGATGAAAGCAGCACCAGGAAGACATCTCCCAGGACAAGATGAGGGCAGGGCAGACAGGGGACCCTGGGCTGCTGCTCCCCCTGACCTTTGGCTCCCCCTGTCCTCCACGCCTCCCAGCCCCATTCATCTCCGGGGCTGTCTCCTCTCAATTATAGAGGTCATAGCATCACTGCACGCTCCCGGCCCCCCATTCGTACGGCAGCCGCTCTTTAGACCCACAGACAGTAGCGGGGATGGAAATAAAGGGCAGAAGGCAGGAGAAGCGGACAGAGGAACTGACAATGCTCAAACTTCTAGCCCGGAGACTCTGGTGACCTTACCAGGAAGCGGTCAGTTGGGAAAGTATGCAGGTGTTGGCCAGTAGTGGCCTGCGTCCTCCATTTTCTGGAGTCACCACAATGAGGGTGGGCCTGGCCAGGCAGCAGCTGCCTGAGAGACCAAGTGGAAGGGAGGAAGGTGAGGAGAGCTTCCTTGAGCTTCATTGGGGGTCCAGAGGGTTCAGCTCACCCCAGATACAAACAGAGACCACGCCTAGCCTCAGATACTCAGGGCACCACTTCCCAGGCTCATGGGAAGTAGCTCCATTGCTCAGACCCATACCTCCCTCTGGGCACTGGACACGGCTCTGGCATGATGCCGGCAGACATTGCTTTCCCAGAGCTCCTGCACACCCATCTCTTGCTGGGGTGGTCCAGCCATGGCGAGGCAGGCCACGGGGTGTGTGTCCATCCTGCAGATGAAGGTTCGGGGTACGGGCTTAGCCTGGACTCCAAGAGTCAGGACAGGAGCCAGGCTGAGGCCTGGGACTTCTCCTTCCTGGGCTCTTTCCACCAAACCCAGCCAAGCTCAGGGGGAATGAGCCAGCAAGCCTTTGGGGGAAATCCATGCCACATGGTGCCCTGACCTGTAGGGGTGGGTCTGGGCACTGCCTGCTATCGGCGACCCCTCATATTTCCATGGGCCAGTGAGAGCTGATCAGGCTCCCAGGACCCAGGGATGGCACCTGGGGCCTCTTCTCCAGGACCCTGGATACCTGCTGCTGCCTCATTCACACCAAAGCATTTAGGGAGCGCCTACTGTGTGTGAGGAGAAATGGCAGGAGTGAGATTCCGTCTCCACTCAGCAGGAGCGTAGGGGTCAGTGAGGGCTGGGGGAAGTGAGCAGCTGGCAGCAGAGCCGCTCCTCAGCGCCAGTGCCAGTGCCTGCTGGGGGTCCGAGGAGTGCCGGCCATGACCCCCGTCAAGAGCTCTTTATATCAGGATATAAAGAGACAAAAGGTCAGGCAGAGTCAGAGGGAAGGGTGGTTAATAACTTCTCTGATCTGATCTTGGTTGTTCTGTTTAAAGAGAGTGTCCTAGCCGAAACCCTCAAGCCTTGATCAGGTCTCTGCCAGTGCAGGGAGGAAGTTCAAGTGTGCTGGCAGAAGTCCAGTCATCCCACTAAGGGCCTTGGGTTTGGTTGCACATTCAGTTAGGCCAGTTTTGTGGAGCCTGTTCAAAAGCCCAGGGCTCTGGCCAAGGGTACTCTAGAAGGGTCATCTCTGTCCCCCTGGGGAGCCCCACACTGTTTTGTCTGGGGTACCTCATACAGCTGATGTTTCTCCTCTTGCAGCAAGGTTTTGATAGAAGCATGCTGGGAACCTTAGCTGGGGCCAACAGCCTCAGGAACTTCACCTCCCGATTCTAAGAAGAGGCTGCCCACTCAAGTTCCACTGGGAGGTAAGGATCAGCCCACCTTTGGAGCAGGGGGTGCCTCCAGGACCCTGCAGCAACTCAACGAGTCTCAGAAAGAGGGACCAGGCCTGTGCTCCCCAGGGGCTCAGAAACATCCTTTTACCTGGCAGAGAACCTCACTCAGCCAGACACAGGGCTCTGAGGGCAACTGTGCAGGGTGCCAAGCAGTCCCATCCCATGACATGAGGGATGTGCCATGGCCTGGGGGAGTCAGTAGGCCAGAGGTCTGGCGGGAGTGCTGTGTCCCAGTACCTAAGTTGCACATTGCATGACTCAGGTGGAGGCTTGCCGGTGACTGAGGTGTGAACGACCCCAGTGGAGTCCTATGTCATTATGGCTTTGGGCATCCATAGTTCTTTTTTTTATCCTTTTAATAATCCACTCAAGCCTCTGCACCTGCCCAGTGTAGGCAAGTTTCTTTCCAGCTAATGATTCTGAGAACCAAAACCACGGAACCAATATCTATGTATGACAGAGACTGGCAAGCCTGAGTTTCCATCAGAATCATCTGGACGCTTGCTAAAATGCACATCTTGGCCCCAACCCCAACAATTCTGATGTCGTATCTCTGGATGGGCTCCAGGAAAATGCATTTTTAGTGTTGTCAGTGAACCAAGGCGCACACTTCAAGACTCAAAGCAGACATCAGCCCGAGAGCGGTCCCCAGAGGTGGCCTCAGCGTGGAGCCATCTACGAGGTCAGGCTCTCCCGAGCTGAGGGGGACTCCTTGGCACTCCAACTATCTGCCTTAACCCCCAACACTGACACCCAAGGAGGGTCCTGGTTGGGGAGAGGTCTGTACTTTTGGTCCAGACGAAAATTCAATAAGACTGCAGAAGCCCTCTCCTGACAGAGGAGTTGACAACACGAGACAGAAAGGCAGAGAAGGCTACATTCAGTGGCGCCTTGATGAGCACTGTCTGGTCTCTCAGTTCTGTGCTGGGAACTACGTTTAGGGGAGTAGGTGGGTGTGGCAGTGGGAGGCCAAAGCTGACAAGCTCTCAGTCAATAGGAGCAACCTGTGGGTGCATCAAGGGTGGCCCTGAATTCAGGGTAGGCCAGAGTCAGTGCAGATGTGGGTGGGGAGGGGGTGACCATATTGGCTGGACCCCCTGTGGGAGCATCACCCTATAAATGTTAACTGGAGGGCTTCTTTTCCAGAAATGATGTGACCGGCTGAGAAGACCTCGAGCCTTGCTGAAGGGGTTGTTCTGTCCACCCTGTGCAGCACTTGGAAGAGTCCAAATGCAACCAAGGGCAAATCTGAAAACTGTGGATGATGGAAATCTTTTTAGATTTTTTTTTTCCTCCGGGGAACTGGCAGTCAATGGGGATTGGGGTGGGAGGGGGAACCTTTCTTGAGTTAAAGGGGCTTATGTCTGATGTCAATACTTCTTTTGCTGAGAAACAATGTGCATGTGTGTGTGTGTGTACATGTGTGTGCAATGGAAGTACGAATGTGTGTTTGTGTGCATAGAGTGCCTGAAAGATGACCACAAACTGCAAAAACCTAGGTCAGCTGCTTTCCTGCAGCCGGTGTTTCTTACTCATGTGCTTTTTGATTAGCTGCCCATAGTTTCCAAATGTACCATGCCAGGGTGGGGACCCTCAGCATGGACTGTCCAGGCGGAGTCCCGCAGCATCCTGCCTGCCACCTCCCGGGATGAGTCGGGAGGGGAGAGTAATAAGGGCTGGACCTCCCTCCCGATGAGGCAGCTTTGCAGGCAGGAGGTCAGCAGGGGGCTTGAGGTTCAGTGCATCTCATGGGGAATCTAGCCATGCGACCAAGTCACCCTGCCCCACAGCCCCACCCCACAGGGGCTGGGCAGGGAGTGGTGCCCTGGGAGATGGACAAGAACAATCACGTTTGCCTTGCTAGATGAAGCCTGTCTGAGAAAGAGGGAGAGAGAGAGAGAGAGAGAGAGAGAGAGAGAGAGAGAGAGGGAGAGGGAGAGGGAGAGGGAGAGAGGACTTGTTGTTCTCTTGGGCTCTGTACTGACAGAGCAGCTCAACCGACAAAGCCCCCACCTTCAGGGGGCATGTAATCTAACTAGTTGCAGGAGAAAGAAGGTGAAATGGTGCTCAAAGCCAAAGAGGTGCTGGAGAGGGGTTGGTCTTCACATTGCCAGTGGAGAGGGGCTGCCTGGGGCTGGCAGGGCTCAGCTTCCAGTGGAATGACAACCATTTGGGAATTGACCAGGAGGACACCCGCCCTGGCTATCTGCTGAGACTCCAGGGAGGGTGTGTTTGGGGTCCCGGGAGACTTGGGGAAAGCGGACTGGGAGAGACCAGGAAGGGGACTGTCAGCTCAGGGCCCCAACAAGCCCAACCCCCAGCCAGAGGCCATGCCCGCCGTCCTCTGAACCCCAGTCGTCCTGTCTCTGCCGCCTTTGAAGCCACCTGGGAATGTGATCAAAGAAGCCACCAGAAACACCAGCCACATCCAAGCCCCAAGACTCGTGTATTTCAGATAAGAAGTAGGAGCAGGGCCTCCTGAGGGCCTTGTCAAAAAAGCGTGCTGTAAATAGCCCCCAGTACAGACTGTAAAATAGAGCAGGATGGGCTCCCCGGGGCTCCCCGGGTAGCAGCCCCTCTTCCCCCACTGGTGTTATTGGTGTCACACAGGAATCCACTGCCTGTTCATACCCTTTTCGAGAATAGAACGTGCCCCTCAATCCTCATCTCCCTTCCTCCTCCTCCCAAGTTCCTTCCCCTGTTGTGCTCCCCAATTCAACCCCCTCCTCACCCCAGCAATCAGAACTGAAGACATCTTTCTGGGCTCAGGAGACTTGGTCTCTGAGGCCGGGAGGGCAGATGAGGAACATAGCTCTGCAGAGCGTCTCCAGCCATTTCTTAGGTACTTTCTGGCAAACGTGATGGCACAATGCTTGCTTTAGGGGCCTGTGTGCAACCGTCCCAGAGGTAAATTTCTTGGAGACCCCCCTGCCAGTCGGGGCCCAGAGGGATTAATTTCTTGCAAAGATCTGTGACATGTCTGGAGCACCACTATGCACCAGGCAGGCTTCTCACTGTGGGCACAACAGTGAGCAAACCTTACCCCTGCACTCTCATGGCTTATATTCTCCTGGAGGAAAAAGCGGACACAGGGTCAGGCTTTGGGGATCCCCCAGTCTGAGAGGACTGTCTAGTCAGGTTGGGGTAAAAGGGAAGCAGCCCACAAGTGAGCCCATGACAGCCCCGGGGGGTGCCCGCCCAGGGATGCCCTGACCCCCAGCCTCTCCCTTCACTGTCCTGGCCTGACCAGGAGCCAGAGGGCCCAGGCCTCTGCTTGGGGAGGTGCAACCCTATAGACCACAGGGGCCTGGGCTGGCTTCTGTCATGCCGGCTCAGGCCAGTCAGCGGGGCATGTCACCCAGGCCTCTGATCCAAGCCCATTACTTTGGAGGAGGTGAAATTAGGGGGTGGTGGGGTGGAGGCTTGAATGCATGTCCGAGAGAAAGAGAGTAAGGGTGTGCCAGCCTTTCCTAGCCGAGGCATGTTCTGCACCGGCTCACGCTACCAGGGCAGACCCCTGAACAAGACGTGGCAATGTGAGCCCAGCTGGGGAAGGACATGGACCACTCGCTGTCTCCTGTGCCTGACAAGCCCAGGCACCGGCCACTGGCAGCCTGTCCAGCAGGGAGCAGACCAGCAGAAGACCCCGCTCTTCTCCCTGGGACTTGGGGTGGTGATGCGCCCTGTGCACCTCGCAGTCTGGCTGAGAGGTGGCATGGCAGGGATGGCCAAGGAGGTTGCCGGCAGGGGAGGAGGCTGGGGGGATGCTGCGAGTTATCCTGGTCCCCTCCCAACCCATCCCTCCTCTTGCTCGATGTTTATGTAAGAACCTGGTGCTGGCTACGCCCAGTTTCCCTGTGTGATACTCTATGTATTTGCTTTTTTTTTTTTTTTTTTTTTTGGAAATAGAGGAAATCAATAAATTGCTGGCGTTTCTTTGAACTTCTTCAAGCAGTGGTTTATTTGGGGTGTTGTTGAGGAGTGAGGGCTGCTCACCTCCTTGGGAGCTTCCTTTGCTGACTGGCAGGCAGGGATGGGAGCACCACGGGCTGGGCCGGGGAGGGTGTGAGACACCCACTCAGGCTCCTGCTCTGTGTTAGTGCCTTTGATCCATGCAGCAGCTCTGTCACCCTCGTGGTGAAACTGGGCAAAGCTTGGGGGATTTCACAGTGTGTGGATTCACAATTGTACTATTGTACTCACAATCGCAAGACATGAAGGGAAGCTCAGGTACAACAATAGGGTTTATTACAGAGTGACTGGGAAAAAGAACAATTTCTAAGGCCCAAGTGGCTGGCTGTCCGCCCCCAGATATTGCCACCATGTCTGGCTGTCCAAACCAAAAGCAGCTCCTGCCAGGTAGTGTGGTCCCTCCAATGACAGCCCAGATTGGGTGGCACAGCAGAATGTGGTAGACCATTTTCAAAGCTAGCTGGGGATTTAAGCCTGAAACCTGGTATCATGTCCAGGGCCCTGCACCGGCCTTGCCATCTGGCACTGGGCATGCAGTGCAGGGGGTCAGTGGAGTTGGTCAGGTTTAAACAGTTGCATTTTTCCCCCTCTAAAACCCAAACCTGCCTGCATCCAGTGGGGTGGTGACCCCTCACACTGCGGCTGATGTTGCCCCAATGGGGGCTGCTGCAGCAGCTGTTGCAGCAGCTGTTGCTGCTCTCACAGTGGTGCCACCTTAGTCTTGTTTCCCTCTTTGGGGAGGGAAGCAACTCCGCCCCCCACCCTGGGGTTGCACAGTTTGTAAAGGATTGAGCCAAGAGTGGAGGCTGACCCTGCAGGAAAGCAGGCTCAGGGGCTGGCTGTGTGTGTCCGCCAGTCCTGGAGGAGGCGGGGAGGCTCGCAGAAGCAAAAGATGTGCTGGTTCAGCCTCTGGGGGCTTTAAGGGGACAAGGCACACATTGGAACTTTCTAAGATGTGATTCTGAAAGTCCAAGTGGTGATCTGGACATAACTGCTGTGGGTCGTTGGTGAGAGTCAGGGTTCCTGGCTGGAGAAGGTTGAGAAGACAGGGAATGCTTCAAGAAGTGGCTGCGGCAAGCTTTTTATTGTCCAATTTACTAGAGTCAGCCCAGATTCAAGGGGAGCAGAGAAGGGGCTCGGCTCCTCCAGGCAGGAATGGCCTGAGCCATAAGAAGGAAAGTCACAGGTGGCAGTCACCTTGGAGACTAGCGACTAGTCACCATGAGGATTTAAAAGCAGAGGGGCTAAGACCTGGGAATTAAAATGCTAAATTTCTCTATGATCTTTGATTTTTCCTCCCTTTAACTGGCCTGGCCACTCTACAGAGCCCATGGCTATGACCTCTGGCCTCAGTTTGGTAATGATCAGGGCGGCCAGGAAGAGGGGTTTATGCTTCAGCCCAGAGGGAAGAAGATGGCCTGTCTGTGACCCCGATTGTCAATGCACTTGGCCTAGGGCCTCCAAAAACATTTTGGAGCCTAAAAATGTGTGGGTTCCAAAATTTACAAATTCATAATCTTTCAGTGTGTAATTGCTAAGTTTTCATTAAAGCAGAGCACACTTGCAGACTTAAATGCCAGCAGCTCAAGAAATCTTCACAAACTGGACACCTCTATGTGACCAGCACCCAGATCAAGAACAGAGGCTCTGCACCCAAAGGCCCCTCAGGACCCTGCTTGTAACTATCCTGCTCCCCAAGGGTAACCACTACTCTGACTTCTAACACCATCTAGTAATGTTGCCTGGTTTTGCAACTTATATAAGTGGAATCAATATTTTTTGCTTCTGGTTTCTTTTTCATTAATTGTGATACAATTCATGCATAACATGCTGTTTCAGGTATACAACATAACAATTCACATATGTACAATGTAATGATTCACACATTGCAAAACATCACCACCATAAGTCTAGTTAATATCTGTCACCGCATGTGTGTCTGCCCTCTTTATTTTTTTTTTAAAGATTTATATATTTATTTATACAAGCACTGGGTACAGTCAGAAGAGCGGGAGCGTGAGAGAATTCACCAGAGCCAGAGCGGGGAACAGAACAGGCAGACTGAGGAAACACACTGCTGAGGGGAGCAGTGGGCGTGGCAGGAGAGGTCTGCGCGCCATGTGGGACTCTCACCGGTGGCCGGGGATCAAACTGGTGCTGCAGAGGCTGTGGGCAGCTTCGCAGCCCAGCACTCAACTGCTGCGCCACCAGGGGAGACCCATGGCTTCTTTAGTTCAACAACATGTGTATGAGATTTAGCATCACAATTGCATGTCATGTTCACTGCTGTCTACTAGTCCATAGTGTAACTACAGTTATGTGCCACTTA